GATCATGTTCCATGCCTTATCACAATTCTCTACAGAAAAGCTTCGGAGTCCTCATCCAAATTGTTCACAATTTTTTCATTGAAAGATCTACTTTTTGCTGTTGATATGGGTGTAACAGCCTTGGGATCATCGAGCAGAAACCTGCCTTTACCCTGAATTCCTTTATTTACCACCTGGCTAACTGCACAGGCCGGGGCAAGCTGTGGTAAATTTAATGCTATGGTCCCATAACATTAACATAATAGTATTACATTTGGATATTATCCTATAACATTGCTATGATAAGTATTTTATCAGTTCAAGGAAAGGAAACAATTGCACAGTCCTTTAACTACTCATCTGCCACGCCGGCATATAGCTTGGGCATGGAAAAGCATTAATACATTTGATATGCAGTCATGTGTTTCTTCGACATTACAAGGCGTACTGACCTGCCAATACATTCTATATCCAAGCCTGATTCTTGCAATCACAACATCACACTGTCTTGGTCTGATTTATATAACCATAGATGAATGATCTTGTCCTAAACCGGTCATAGTGCTTTATGCTACATCTGTCAGGGCGTTGAGAATTAATTATCTCAGTCAAGTCCTCTATGAAGAAGCTTTAATGATGTATAAAATTCCTAGAAAGAGGTATCCCAAGATCTATATCCCACACTTTGTTTGTCACATGCTGACTTTTGCTAGCGATCAGCATGACCATGCCTAGGGATTCAAACAGGTGATGGGATCCACACAAAATATTAGGCCTCGTTTCTTTTGCACGATACACGTTTTTCCTGATGTCATTTGCAATATTTCCTTCACCTTTGTCTAGAGTGTTCAGAGTCTGGAGAGCACTCTGTGAATCACAGAAAATGACTCCTGAACCTTGATTCAATAGAAATTCGGTGGCCATGAGTATTCCTGCCAACTCAGTTTGTGTAGTGCTAGCCCAGTCATGAACCCTCCTACAATCCTGGTGCTGCAAAATTTTATATACAACAAAAGCGCATCCTGCTCTGCCCCCAGACTGCAAGGATCCATCAGTGTAGCATTCATATGCATTGGGCAGAGTTTCTAGATGCTCATTTATAATTGCAAGTGCATACTGTTTAAGTATAGCAGGGGGGACACTGTCTTTTTTGGGGGCAGTTGTATAATATACACTTAGGTCAGACATTCTCAGAATGTCCATGTAGGGTCTTAGTTATGGGTATGTTTAGCTGAGCTAAGTGTTTACACGTAACTTGTACCCATGGATTTGAGAATGAATCGGTGTTGTTATTCAAAGTTAGCTCTTCTATTCTGTGTTTTAATTGTCTTTGGAACTCTGTACAATGGAGGGGATCTCTAATTGATTTAACACTAAATGTGGTATTTATGTATAATATTCTTTCATAAAGAGAAGGCAAATTAAATTCTGTTCTCATATTCACAGTCCTTATTGTTCTACGAGCACCAAGAATGATCCTCATGGCTTTATTTTGTACACTTTCTAAACTAGTCAACTGTGATTCCTTGAACAATACTAGGTGCAATGCATGGTAATCTATGACCGACCTTATGTATGACAAGTAAAAGAGTCTCGCAATATTGACATTAATACCATGGTCTTTGCCGACAAGTGTCCTAAGTGGCTTCAGCCGCTCCCATAGCCTTTTCTTCAGGTTTCTGATGAATTCTGAATCATTAACAATCACCCTGTATTGGTGGCAGTGATCTAGCTCAACATCATTAATATGAAACCTTGGCAGAGGGATTGTCTTTGGGTTAAGTGCCTTGTTTTTTTCAGTTGAGGTTATTAAGCCACACTCAGTAGCCCTTCCAGAAAGTATATCAATAATCTCTTGCATTCTCTCCTCAGATGAAGATTTAATGCAGATGTCATCGGCATAGCAAATAATGGAGCCATTGCCTGCAAGTGGTGTATCGCCCTGTAATCTATGCATTAGGATATTAAATAGCATGGGACTAAGTACTTCTCCCTGAGGTGTGCCGAGTTCAAATGCTTTTGTATGAGTGCTCTTAATACCCCTGAAGAGAACCTGAGCCAATCGATTTGATAGATACATTTGAATACATGCTAATAGTTTTCCCTGAATACAAAAGCTAGCTAGTTGCTCAAGGATAATTTCCTTGTTTGCAATATCAAATGCAGCTTTAAGATCAAGGAATACGGTTTGCATGCCTGGGTTTGAGTTTGTTAAGTACTCTGCAAAGCAGTGCTGACTACTACGCCCTGGGAGAAATCCAAACAGTCTGGGGGATAACTTAGCATTTATGCGATACATGAGCCTGTTCAGAATTATTCTCTCAAGTACTTTGCACAGACATGAGGTCAGGGAAATGGGTCTGTGTTTGTCAGTATTGGGATTGGTTATAGGAATGATTAAGCTTTTAGTCCAGGAGCTTGTGAGGATTCCTTGTGATAGGCTGAGTCTATACAGGTGTAAAAGTGGGTTGCCTGGCACCTGAGCAATGAGGCGAAGGACACTGTAAGTAATGCCGTCCTCGCCACGGGCAGTTGCCTTACCTTTCAGAAGGACATTGCTCAGTTCCCACTCGGTTATTTCGACAAAGTCGGAGGGGACAATAGCAGCACAGGCTATTGCTATATTAAAATTTCTATCTATTTTCGACTTGTTGAGCTGATTCTTTATCCCTTGTGGAAGTGAGTGTAATGAGAATTTCCAGCCCACTGCTCTAGCAGCATGTTAGCCTGTTTTTGTGGACTGTGGAACTGCGGTCAGCCCATTAAGTTTTCTCCATACGTCAGCTACAGAAGTTTAACTATTGATACTTTGCAAGAATTGTTCCCAGTGTTTACTACGAATCTGAGTTTTTAATTCTCTGAATTCCTTGTTGGCTTTCAGAAACTGCAGAAGATTGCGTGTCGTCTTATAATCTTTATAACAATTAGCAAGCTTCTGAACCCGTTGATGTTCCTTGGCCAGAATTGGGTCATTGATCCACCTCGGTGCATGGGAGGCCTGGGGCCTCTTTTTCTTTGAGAGTTTTCGTGAACAGACCCATGTGTTATAGTAGTCAGTGACAACTTTGATTAGATCCTGAGAAAAATTTACAACAGTTGTTACTTCATAGGTGTTATACCAGTCATAGACCCGTGCCTTGAAGTGATGCTCCAGGCCCGGTGGGATGATTATTCTGAGCCTAGGTGATTTAGGGGTTGAGTCTCTGTCCACAGTATAGTCTGTTCGTATTGCAAAGTGGTCACTAACTATCGCACCAGTGAAGTACAGACATTATCATGAACTAAATTCTTGCCAAATACATAGTCTAACCTGCCACCTCCCAAATGAGTCTCTGTTTCTGTGTCATATACTGTTAGCGATCTACTACTGATAAAATGTTTGAATTTTTCCCTATTACTATTACGCTGGTTGTCTCCAAAGTGTGGATGCCTTGCATTGAGGTCGCCCATACATAACGTGCTGTGGTTGCGAAAATTGGGGAGAGAACTAGCCAGAAATTTGGAGTATCTGGCATATACATTATACAGTGAAAAATACCCAGTGACAGTCTGAATTTTTAAAGGACGAAATTGAACATCAGTGTTCTCGGATGTTTTAACTAATTTATGTGGCAGTGTTACCTTCACATAAGTCAACAATCCAGTCATGGTTCTATTCACATATGAAAAATATCCCTGAATTGCAGGTGCTATCTTCATCTTAGCAGCAGCAAAAGATTCTTGCACGCAAATAACATCAGTATTATATTTAGGGATATAAAACTCTAGGTCATTCAGCTTAGGCTTTATACTACGCATGTTCCATGATATAAATTTAATTGTGCGTTTATCCATATGTGAATAGTGCTCTATTAGGCAATCTGTACCTCATGCTGAAATATCCTCTAATACAAATTATAGATTGACATAAGAAACATATAGCTTTATGATTGTGGATTTCATTACAGATGGTAATCTTAAACTTAAAAATACTTTTAACCATTTCAAACATTTGGTCTTAGCTTTGTCCCACTTCTCAGCACAGTCCCTTCGGTTGTTGTGCCAGATGCACCTGGGGGGCTGGTTGCGTCCCTGGCCGCGGGATGGGTTGGGAGGGCCGCGCTGGTCACTCGCGGTCGGTGCTGGGACCACAGGGGGTGTGGGATGGGGGGGCCAGGGCAGGGAGGACTGTGCACCCCCAGTAGGCAGTCACACCTGTCATCCCACACCTGAAGCGTGATGGGACAAAAGTTGGTGCTTCTGCAGTACTCTCTTCTGCTGCACTGCGAGTGCACTGCGAGGACACTCTTTGTATAGTGAAATCCACGGAGAGCTTTCATTATTCTCTCGATGTATTTTAATACTTCCCTTTTTAACTTTTATTTGACTTATTTTTAATTTATTTCTAAACTTCTTGTACCTTGACAAGGTCTTAAAGATTTAAAGAAAACAAACATAATTAAGTCAGTTTGATCTCCATTTAATACAGGGTAGCGAGCGTTATGTAAGGCACTGATTTATTTCACTCTCCTGAGGCATAAAACCCAATTATGCATATTACGTATAATGCTAAGCAAAACACTTCCAAACTGGCAAGAATATCTTTTTATTACTCCATAATGTACACATAGAATCCTGCCCAAAATATACCGAGAATCCTGCCCAAAATATACCGAGAGCCAATACTTATCTTTGGTTTCCACGAACACAACACGACAGCCCTCAAGGCTGGTCCCGGCCTCTCTGTCTCGAGAGATCGCTATGCTCCTTGGGTCACCTGCTTGGCGGGACCCAAGACATGCAAAATTGTTGTTGTTTACTAACTTAAGGTCTCGTTCGGTAGCTTGGCGTAAACACAAGCGGGCTAATCCCTCTGTTTAGATGTCGTTTACGCAAGCATGAGATGTTACTTATATTTATTTAAATTGGCACGTCCGTCAGATCTGCTACACTTGGCAGTATGTTGTTCTCCACATGCTGCGCAGTGTGCTTTGTCCTTGCAGTATTTAGCTACATGGCCACTTTCCATGCAGTTGTAGCAG